CAATTTACCATTGAATAAAAATAATCAAGAAAAGATAATAATTGAATTTGTTAAACAAATCGAATCGAATATTTTTAACATAGACAATTCAATGAAGAATAAGATTAGGAATGATTGTATTGAAATTTTACATAGAGTACCTCAGAAAGTTAAAGAAAGAAAGTTGGATGACGAAATATTATTATTAGAATGTATGAAAGATGTACGAAAGTTTGTGGCAGAACAAAAGGACATTTTAATTACAAAAGCTGACAAAGGTAATTCCACAGTAGTTATGAATTTATCAGACTATAAGAATAAAATGAATAAGTTATTATCAGATAAAGAAACTTACATTGAAATTAAGAAGGATCCAACTAGCAAACTAACGCGACAAACACATGTATTAGTAAAACGATGGAAAGATAAGGAATATTTGAATGATCAAACTTATAAATCACTAAATGTCACAGATTGTAATTTGGCGAGATGTTATGGTGTGCCCAAAATCCATAAAAGTGGCAATCCTTTACGTATCATTGTGAGTTGCATTGACTGCCCTCTTTATAAATTATCCTCTTATATCAAAGAAATAATAAACAAAAGTATTAATAAACATTTTAGTCACATCAAAAATAGTTATGATTTGGCGCAGAAAATAAATGGTAAAAGCTTAAATGACAATTATAAAATTTTGTCCTTTGACATAGAAAATATGTACACAAATATCCCTGAAAAATTAATATTAACTAGTATTAGCAATAGATGGTCAGATATCTCTAAAAATACAAATATTTCTATAAATGAATTCATGAGTGCAATTTCCTTGATATTCAATTCAACATTTTTTAAATTTGATAACCTTTTTTATAAACAAGTTTTTGGATTGCCAATGGGCTCACCGCTCTCTCCCATCCTGGCAGATCTCGTAATACAAGATCTCGAGACAGACATTTTAAGTCGTTTAAATGTTCCTGTACCCATTTATTTCAGATATGTAGATGACATTTTGCTTGCTTGGCCTTTTGATGAAATTGAAACAGTTTTAAAACTTTTTAACAGTTACCACAATCGCATTAATTTTACGCCCGATAAAGGTTTAAATAATTCTGTAAATTTTTTAGATGTCAAGGTCATAATTAAAGATGGTTGTATCAGATTTGATAATTACAAAAAAATGACTAATTCCGGTCGTTATCTGAGTTTTTTATCATCCCATCCAGACCAACAAAAAAAAGGCATTATAGTTAGTTTGTTGGACCGAATAATTTTTTAGCTCATCCTGATTACCAAGAACAAAATATTATAGAACTTGTTGATGTTCTACAGAATAATGGTTATCCGTTAAATGTGATTTTTTCTACAATAAATAATAGAATTGAAAAATTAGCAAAAAGAAAAAATTTATATATTAATAATAAAATGTTAGATGATAGTAATAGTAATAATAATAATTATTATTTTCTTGTACCATATATACGCAACTTTTCAGAAAAGTTTTTCCATATTGCGCACAAAATGAATAAAAAAGTTGCGTTTAAAGCACATAATAATTTAAATTCTATTATTAAATTGGGTAAGGATCAATTAAAGACGAATGAACAAAAAGGTGTTGTTTATAAGATAAATTGTAAAGAATGTGACGTGTCTTATGTTGGCCAAACTAAAAGGAAGATGGGCACACGTATATTTGAACATCAACAAGATACAAAAAATAAAAAACACTGCAGTTCTGTCTTAGCAGAACATCAGATGAATAATGGTCACAATTTTAATTGGGATGATATAAAAATTATGGATAGAGAACAATATCTTTTCAAAAGACTGACATCTGAAATGATTTTTATCAAAAAACAAGAAAACGGTTTAAACAGGCAGAATGACACACAGAAATTTCCAGAAGCATATGTTTCTGTGCTTGACATGTTATGATATTGATGTTTTGTAATCACATAATGGTCGCTTTAGCCTAAGATATAAATACGTCGTTTCAGAACATACGAGACAGTTCTCACAGTTTGTCCTAGCTTACCACACAATAATTGTTATAGGCGTTAAAACGAACAAACGAAAGTATAATATGTCTACGATATTATATGCATTACAATTGGTGATACATTTTAATAATTTTACGCAGGTATTACGAAGTTTTACGATACATTTTAATAATTTTATGTCCGGTATTAAAAAAGTTTTTTGAATTAATTAATTGAGTGAGTCATACTAAGAATTATAAATTTGTCAATTATCAGTATCAGGTAATGGTGCGTCGAGTTATTGGAATGACAATAAAAAATATCATCACTAAGGATAATATAATTATGAACTACACTGATAATGTAAGTAGCTATGCATATATTACGTTAAAATAGAACATAAAAATTAAATGTCAATTTTAACTTATATTTCGTTAATGGTTAGAGCGGACTTGTTTTGTATGAGTGCAGAGGATGGGAATCATTTTAACTGATAAGACTTACTATTGCTTTCCATGATTTTATGCAGTTGACGAAGATTATAGATGATACTTTGTAAACTATAAATTAAGTATTGACAATTATATGTATAATGACAACGAGAATGATATCGATCTATGCTTATTCAAAATTATTGTAAAAAAATTTTTGTAACAAATTTATGTAATACCATTGAAAATGGTCTGATGACAGACTGAAACGTTTGGTTCTATATATTATAATAAATTTCGATCAATTTATGATCTTGCACTAAACTTAACTTGTGTACGTGGAAGAAGCCGTTAATTATTATATTTTTCTATTTTAATTTATTTGAAATCGTACGATATGGTAATCAATAAATGATAAGTAAATGTACAAGTAAAAGGGAAATGTCGTATTAACGTGTTCTTACTCATCAGCTGAAAACGACAATCCATTCAAAAATACACATAGCGGAAAAACGAGTATTGAAAACGGACGATTCACTCAAAAATACTCGCGTATACGTTTGTCGTTCATCAGAGGAAAAACGAGTATTGAAAACGGATAATCTCCTCAAAAATACTCATTGCGTACTCGTGTATACTCACTATCATTCCTTCATGATACACTGCGAGTGCTTGCGAGTACAAGAAATGAGCAAGAACGGGCTAAAAACGGGCTAAAAACGGTCCATATGAGGTCTAAAAACGGTGAAAAATTTTTTTAAGGGTGGAATCCGAGCTGACCTCTATCTTTATGTTCTTTGATACTTTTGAAATTATTTTTAAAAGATAACGCTTTAATTCTGTTATTGATATTCGGGAATAAGAATTCCAATGGGTATCCATTTTCTTGAACAATATATTAATTAAGGAAATAATATTTTTCTCATGAAATTTAGGATGAGAAAGGAATAACATTCTGTCTAACTGTCCGATTACTACACCTTTTTTGTGTTCTAAAGGATGATTTGAATAGAAATTCAAGTATCTACCAGAATTAGTAGGCTTCTTATAATTGTCAAAAATAATTCCTCCATTCTCTATTTATATGTAGTTCTACATGGAGAAAATTTATTCCTCTGTCATTGTTATATTCCACAGTAATTCTTTCAAGAAAGATAAAATTGTGTTAATTTGATCTTTTGGACCTGTCATAATAATGTCATCAATATAGCGATAATAGAATGGAATATGTGTAATTAGTGTCTTAAAGATATTAAGTTCCAAGGCTTGTATTACGTCAGCTAAAATTGGAGAGAGAGGAGATCCCTCTCTCTCCAGCAATTAACAACAGGATTAAAGCGTTATCTTTTAAAAATAATTTCGAAAATATCAAGGAACATAAAGATAAGGTCAGTTCGGATTCCATTGAAATTACTAAAAAATATTTCACCATTCCGTACTTTAACAAAATTTCAGAAAAATTTAAATCCATCATACAAAAATTTAACTTCAATTTCGGTCATAAACCGATGAATTGTTTGAATACCTTTATTAAAACAGGCAAACATAAAATTAACAAAGAAGATCACTGAAATGTTATGTATAAAATAAACTGTCTCGGTTACAACTATTCATATGTAGGACAGACAAAAAGGAAACTGAAGACGCGTTTAAAAGAACATAAAAATGATTTTTAAAAACCATCTGATACTTTGTTATTTGTCATCACAAACTAGATCATAATCATATGATTCATTGGGAAAATACTATCATTCTTGATTCCGAATAATCTTATCATAAAAGGATGGTCTCCGAAACGACACATATCAAAAGACAAAAAATGGTTTAAATAAACATAGTGATACAGAACGCTTTTCTGAAATTTATCTACCAATCATTGAAAAAAGCCCCTCTACTCACCAATAGAATATCCCCTTCTACTTCTCTTCCCTCTCCTTTCCTTACACAATGTATAAAGACTGTCACTAGTTACGTGACATCACATTTTTGTCAGTAATGATAGTGTACATTAACGACAAGTCTTGGAAAACTTTTTGTTTTCCAAGACTTGTCATTAATGTACACTATTAACTCCGAATTATACTTGCGATGACTTGTGTTACAAAACACGTGGTAAGCGATTTTGACTATTAAACTTAACCGATTCTTACTAATAACAATATATTTTAAAGTAATATTTAAAAAAATAGTATTTTTTAAATTTTAATTAGAATTTGGGATTTCCGTACTTCTCACACGAAGTCTCACATAGCTTCTAGTAATAAGGAATTCATAACGCAATAGAAATCTGTTTCATAAGCGATTGCAAAATTCATATTCAATTCTAGACTTACAACTTTGTTAACTCGTTTCATAAGCGAATGTAAAATTGTTTCATCATCAATTCTTGACTAGCGTTTATTATTAATATTCTTTAATTTATGTAACATCTTTATATTTTAATGTACTGATGGTGGTTAAATTTTGACCGAAACGTCTACTTTATCATAATATAATTTTAAATATATGACTTTCGCTTAAAACATTTAGTGCTGTGGCTGTATGCTTCCTGTTATTTATATTTTAAATATATAAATTTTGATAGAGTATTCAGATAATATTTACTTCTAATTACCTTATCCACTCTGATAACAGATGCTCCAAATTCTGCCAAAATCATTCCGCAGAAAGGTCCTGGAGCAAGTCCAGCTAACTCTACGACTTTGATTCCTTTTAAAGCCATGGCGCTTCTGTTGATAAATTAATGAAACTTCAATTTTGTAGAAATGTATAGTTGATCCGATATTTATTTACAATACTTTTATTGTTAAAACAGTTTTTAACCAAACACTCGATTATATTAACCATATAACATTTAATTATATATTTATATCCATATAGAATTTATAAGTATTTCTTTATCATATATAATGATAAGAAAATACTTATGAATGACATATTCCACTTTGACGTTAATCCGCAGACATTAATTATACAGTATATTAATATATTATACAGTATGATACAGCATTTTTCTTTGGAAAATTCTTTTCTAATTTTTAATAAAACAAACTCGTGTAGTTCGATGGAATATACTCAGTGAGAAATGATAATGTAATCGATATTAAATCGATGTCGATTCAACGTCGATATTAAATCAACATCGATTTCATTGTCATTTCTAACTGCCCAAGGACAACAAGAAATTCAAAATAATGTCAATTTGATATCATATTGACTAAATTTATATCATTTTTTTGTCATGACAAAGATCTCAAATGGTCTAAGAATGACTTTATATAGACTTCTTTTTATTGTCTTTTTTATTTTTATGGGAAACATAATTGTGCGCATGTCACGAGCAGTGATGTAAAAGCCCGGTGTTATACTAGTCAAATAATTTTAGTTATAATTCTGTTCTGATTTGCTAAATTTTAAACTTCAGTTTAGTATTGTCACGATTTCTTGTCCTCTCCTGACGTTCTGCCGTTACATTACAT